TGTTATTATAAACGGATGGAGTTCTTTTTCAAACAGAAAATGTTTACCTTGATAGTAATTTTTGATGCGGGTTAGTGAACCTTCAGCTTGGTATTCCATGCTTTTCGCTCTTTAGATAAAACTAACTTAAAATATAAGATCTTGGTTGGATGAAAATGTTAGTGTCACGACGGAATTTGAACCACAACCTTCGGCTAAATACACCACTGCTCTAACCACTTTAGCTGTCGTAATTTCGATCCAGTCGGACATCAACTCCCCATCTCCACTTAGCTTTCGAATTTTCCCACTTTTCGCCATTTTTCAATTGTCAGTTTCAGTGGTTTCGAAGCCCGCTCCTGACACTAAACTAAGTCAGTTTGAAATAATTAATGTGGTTAATTTGACCACTGCACATACATGGACTAATGATGTAAAGGTGATCGACCAGCGGTTATTCAACAATATATTTCGTTGGTTCAGGGATGTGGTCCAAAGAATGTTCTTGTGTTGAAACTACGCCAGGTTTTCGGTGTTTTATTTCACCCACCTCAGGGTGTATTGAAATATACATATAATATTTTATAATTGCTCGTCTGTGTAAGTGAAAATCAAAAATCAACATGGTTTTCCAACTTACAAATTCTCTGTCAGAGTTTAAAATTGTTTTTTTTTTTTTTTTTTTCTTTCAACGTGTATAGATATTTTTTCACTCTTTTTGTCATTTCTTTTACTAAGTACAATATGTGGTGTTTAGTGACCGTTAGCAAATGATTATGTGGAGATCGTGAGATGCGGTCTGGTGTGACATAGGCTTTAGAAAAATATTTTCTTTATTGTGTCAACGTTTCGATCTTTATTGAGATCATCTTCAGGGCCTGGGATTTATAAACATTGTTTAAATTTTACAAATACATACAGGATTTAAAAAAAAATGAATTAATACAATGCTGGAAGATTTTAGATAAAAAACTTAATTTATACAATGCTAGAAAAATTTAGATTAAAAAAGGAATGAATTTATACAATGCTAGAAAATTGTAGATATTAAAAAAATGAATTTATACAATGCGAGAACTTTTTTTACATTCAATCAAAGAATTCGTACTCATTCAAAGTGTTTTTTTTTTCAGTGTAGATGTGTCATTCTTGTGAGTCGTGTTGATAGTGCCACTGAGATATCACTGTTTTATGTCGGGATAGAAAGACATTTTTATATGAGGAGTCGGCTTCTTTGAGGTGAAAGGAACCGACAATGGGAAAAAACGTGGTTAATGGTTCGGCCTGATTATCCTTTCAGGAGACGGGGATAATTCAGGAAAGGAAAGCCAAATTAGACACAATACAAAGTATTAGACTATGTAGAAATTATTAATGTGTGGAATGTGATGATTAGGATTGTTTTATATGTTATATTATATGTTTTGTGTAATGTGCTGATGATATATATCAAATTCAATATCGATAACATATATCACCAGCACATCACAAAAACATATAATATAACATACAAAACAATCACACAATTGGTATTTTTCGCCTTGCTTAGTCTGGGCATCGTACTAAGCGCATCCGACTTCTTCATTTATTTTTGATCCATCTGTTAATTTTGTACGCCAACGGCGTTACCATATTGAAGAGCTCTTCTCTAAATATTTGTTTTGCACATGATGATAATTTTATTTCAGGATCGCAATAATTTAATTTTACTTTGATGTTTCCGTATTGATATCACTGTCAAAAATGGGTTGCTTTCTTCCACAGTGAGTTATATTTTAAAAATTTGACGCAAATTCGAAACTTAGTGTTAACAAAGGAGATGGGTTTTTTTGCCAGTACGCACTTCTTAAGTTTTTTACATTTAAGTAGCAAATATTAGTAAACAGCATGGGGTGGAAAGCCACTTTTACAATCAGACGGTCACTTAACATTTGACATCGAAAAGAAAATAATAAAAAAAATTTATAATCACAATAACACAACAATATTAATACTGAAAGTACAGTTTTCTTGTACTGAAATATACTGTATTTTACGGCATTCTACTCCAATTTAGATGCACTGACACGGACAAATAATTTTAATAGGACGAGCCACCCTGTGTAAAGATTGATCATATTGAAAAATAATATCAATTAAATCGAAATAATTGATTCCATAGCCTTGAAATCATATATATTACAATATTAAAATTGCGATCTGGCAGCATGAAACATAATGGTTCATTTCCAGATAAGAACTACAATACAAACAATAATGCGAAATAAATAGTGAATGTCTTTTTACTAGACTATAATTCTTCCTAATTTTTCTTCAGTTAACATACGAAACTTTTGCAGCAGTCTATAATCCTCCTTTTTCAAATGGGAGAAGCGCAATTATCAATAATTTTATTGTCGAACGTGTATAAACACAAGTGATACAGAAAATATAATTTCCTGTTAAATATACGATGGAGAGAACAGAACCATATAGACTCAGTGTAATAAACAAATAAAGAGTATTTATTTTTATACGTTATGTTTGATTTATCTGATTGATATTATTGTAGGATTTAGTCAAAAATGGTTTTATTTGCATTTTGACGAGTGGCTGAACTGGCAACAGCTTTAGCGAATGTTAATATTTATCTTTTATACTAAGTCAAATTAAACGTTTTATTATTTGTAATTCTAATAAAAAAGGCGACTGTGGTGATAAAAGTTTTATTTTGCTAAATACATCTTGTAGCGGACAATGTGTCTATTTACCCTGTTGTTTCATACTTTTTACCTAAATTAATAATTTTTACATACTTACTTGTTACGAGTCAGAAGATAGTTTTTTAAGAATTAAAACATGAAACAAATCTAGTCTTTCTTAACGAATAATTTTTATTTATCGCATGAGAGGTTTAACAAGAGAATGATGAATGAAAATGATAATTCAGAACTTTGCTAAATATGAATATAGCGTTTTTTCAGACCGAGGGGTTTTACAGTTCTAAGCTCTCTCAATTTTAATTAATCAACGAGTTTTTGTTTTGCTTAAATTTGATTTATATTTTGTTTACCAGGGTTGAGTTTACGGTTTATTAACCTGGTAGAACGAGCATTGGGGTTCACTGACGTGTGAAGGTTGAATATATCTCATCTTGGGACGAGGGAGGTCAAAAAGGAAAGCGAATCTACTTTTCGCCCTAATTTTAATTGCCACGGTGCCGTGATCACATTTTCACCGTTGGCCTAATTTCCCCGGTTCACAAGAAAAATTTATTCGTATTTAACAAATATTTTTCCTGCCGGCCGGCCAAAGAATTAATAGTAATTTTATGTTAATGAATGCTGAATCAGGAGATAATTTACTGCATTTAAGCCTTAGAAAGATACGTAGGTTTTTCACTTTTTATCACCCTTCTATGTGCCTTCTAAGTAAATTTTGCTTATTTTCACGGAGCAGTCATTAAGCTAAACCAACGATTCTGGCAGTTCTTGCATAACAAACGAACTGTGCGCCTTGAAAATAATGTGCAGTAAGAATTATCCCTTACATTTTATTCTTTCGGCTTTTTTCATACTCTCTCTATTTCTATCTTTCCTTTTTCGGTCTCTCTAGCTCTGGTTCTTCTCTTTTATTCTAGATCTACTTCCGAATCCTAATCAAAAAGCCTTATATTTCACAAAACTTTACTTGTGGGTTTATGATAGAAAAATATTTTAACTTTTCAGAATTACTAATTTGTCTAATGGTTTAAAAATTAAATTTTAAATTTCCCTATCAATTCTAGCGTTTTCTTTTGAACCGTTGTTTGAATTTGATACTTGCAAAATTTTCTTTGGAGTTCTTTCACTATAAAAAGAGTTAGGCTGTCAAAATTCTGAACTATTTGATAATTTAAAAGTTTAACAAATATGAATTTAAATTTAAAATATTGAAACCTATAATTTCAAGTACAATAGAATGAAATATCGAAATAGAACATATCCCGGGTTCGAATCCCGCTCGTGACACTGATTTTTATCTCAATCATCCCTTATGAAAGGTTGAAAGCTTGGCAGTTACATATAAAACAATCATTGATAACCACACCCCAAATACTATGCAACTACTAATATTTATTGGACATGATATGATTTTAACAGTTGTAGTATTGTACCAATTTTTATTATCATTATTATGTTTAACACATATTTTCGAGTAATTAATCACGATTTTTCATAATGAAAAATTTGTGCCACAGGCCTGTGATAAAAAATTTTCATTTCGAAAAATCGTATATAATTAATTGAATATATATGTTTATATTGCAGTATAATAATTAATTGGTTCAAAATATTTAATTACAATGAACGATGTGGCATCAGATTAAGTCTAAATATTGCTTTGATTAATTTTCTTTCCTTTGTAAATTTGCTTTAGATGTTTGAATAATCGATTTATAACTTTTGTTTGCTAATTGATCAGACTCGTTTATTTTACAACTCCCCCCCCCCCCCGATGATGGTTATGAAGTACATGAACTGAATGCAAATGTTATCGTTTGCTGCCTAATCTCAGAAAAGGCTCGGGTACGTTATCATGCGAAACTATTGAGTAAATGTAGCTCAAGTAAATTTAAGAAAAATAGATATTTGACGAATAGGGATGATAATTCTGGTACGCATGTCAATAAATACTAATAATTACAGCTTGTTGATTTTCATATAAATTTAATCATTATTAAGAATAAATTGTCCAATCTTGCCAATCATCATCAAATATAAATATATTTAGGGAATACAAAAGCAATATTCTTTTGACGTGTGCTATTAAGGTTTTATAAAACCAATCAATTTTTATCTGATAGAAATTTGATTAATTAATGTACTAAAGCAATTCATTTCTTTATAGTTAAAAAGGTTAGGTCAGATAAAACATCAAATATTTGATAGAACTATTCCCTTATGTTCTATCACGATCATGTTTCGAATCGGTGCATGTTTGATTAATGACCTTTTTAAGCAAAGTTTTGTTTGTTGATTGATCAACCCTGTCTGTTCCAGGACCCTCTAGCCAGTTACGACGTTAACAACCAAGACGAAGATCCGATGCCGAGGTACGATAGCCTGGATTCAAATCGGCACGGGACTAGATGTGCCGGTGAAGTTGCCGCCGTGGCCAACAATTCGATTTGTTCCCTGGGAATAGCTTACAGAGCCAGTGTGGGAGGTGAGTTTCATCCAGTTACCGTTTTTTACTTTTACTGTTTTAATAGTTCAAAAGAAAGAATTAATTAAATAACGAAGCTAAAGATTTATTTGAAAAACGATCTAACTGAAATCGTCTTAAGGTATTATTGTTCTGTTCAGATATACTAAGAACGAAGATAAGTCAACGACCTATAAAAAAATTGAAGAAGTAGGGTGCCAACTGGAAATTTTTAGGTCGTTAAAAATTATATAATTCTTAAATTAGTTTATATAAAATATATGCAATATACAATTTTATTGATTACTGGTTTGGCCTCGTACCGAATGCGACTACTGACCATAAATGAAGAAGAGTTTTATGGTTCCTTTCTTTTTATTATCGTGTGAACCTCCTATTAAATATTCACGCATTTGATCCGTGTTAAGTGTGTCATTGGGCTATTATAGTAGAAATATACGTAAACGACTGTTCTAAACTTAGTATCTGCTAAATGTGAAAACGTGTTAACTAAGATTATTCATGACTTTTCAAATTTCTATTACGTTCTTGTTTATAACTAATAACGTTAAATTGATATTTTTTCAACGCCAAAAATAAGTAAAAGGACAGAATTTCTAAATTATTTTATTTATTTAAAAGTGCTTTGATGTAAAGCGTTTGACGAAATTGAATTTTATCTACCTTTGACCAACTTTTTCTTCCTTCCTTTCTCAACCTAATTTGTTTTTTATTTTCTCATTATTTTGTGAACTTCTAAATTATGAGATACTAAGACGTGGTAATTAAAAACAAATTCTTAATGAGTTTTTTGCCGTTAAATTTGCAATCGTAGACACAAAAATATCAACAATTCTCATAGAACGATTACACCATTTAAATAAACACCATACCAACTAAAAAGAAAAAGGACGGACTATCACAAAGACAGACCGAAACAATATAATGTCAGCTTAATCCTTCAAAATTCCGATAGATAAAGATAACGCTACCTTATTCACTTCACCCCTCAAGACCTTTTAAAAGAGACTTGACTTCACAGAAATCGCGCAGACCCAGCAGTGAAGTTGGTGAAATGCAGAAATGCGTCTGACAGAACATCAGCATGAAGAAGATTGCTCGATGTTTCTCATCTAATTCAAGAGTTCGCTTTCATATCGGAAGAGAGATGGATGAAATTCTACTCGGCATTTGAACTATGTTAGATTGTTGAGTAGCGAAAATGGAACTCCTTTGTTCCGATTTTTGGAGGAAACAAGACTTTTTATTGTAAATTTGGTGCTTCAAGTTTTATAGTCCACCCATTTAATTAAAAAACCATTAAATTGAGCAAAAAAACACCCAAGTAATATTGGCTAGGAATCGCCTGGTGGTAACAGATTAAACATTACTTTCTCATCTAGCTAGGAAATAACACTAACTTTGTTATTTTAAATGAGAATCCGATATTTTTATTGTACAATTCGATTTAATTTTTAGCTTATTTTATGCCACTTTTACTAAAAGGAAAACTGTCGTAATTTCGACCATTTCTGAGTTATGCCCGCGTAAGTTTGTATGCTTTTAGTAGCAAGATGGTCCTCGTTTATTTCGAAAACGATTAGCATTAGAAAAATATTATTTATAATATTATAAAAATAATACATTATATTAGCTGTATAATATGTGTAAAGGTAAAAATTATTAATTGTATAAAAAATATAAATTGTATTGAATTATTTTGAGATTTTCTCTGTTAAAATGTATTTTTATTAAAGCAGTTCGGATATCAATCTGAGATGAAATAACAATTAATTAATATATCATCTAGAACCCTAATATATTCTGGCAATTCCCATCAATCACGTTCAAATTTAATCGATAGGAATATTATAAATAAAAAAACATAATAGTTTCGATTCGAAATCCCTGGGTTAAATTACAATAAGAGTGGGTTTTTTGAAAACTGGCTCAAAAGTTGAATAAAATTTGCGAATTAATGTAATATGAAAGAGCAAAACCATTTATAATAAGACGGATTCTTATTACTAAAAACAAGCAAAATTGGCATTGACTTTTACCTTTCCGTAATAAAAATATAAAATTAATTTTTTTTCTCTCGGTGAATTGTGAGCTATAAAATTGATCAATTTGCTGTTTTTATTATGTAACGTTGGTTAAACATTTTATATTACATACTTATTACATGGGGTTACGACCCTATTAAAAAATGATAACATTTTGTCTCTGAAATGTTACGATTTTTTAAATAATTTTTACCTGTTTATTATATTTTCTAAACAACAAAATATTCTTTTTCAATTTTTTATTGAACATTATTTTAGCTCAAATTTTAACATTAGCACTATCATATCGGATTTGCTTTTTCCTTCCTGCACAGATGCACAGTTCGTCGCTTTTTCAGGGCGACAGTCTTCCTTTCTATCTAAAAGTCTTATTTCTGTTTTTTTTTTTTTTTTTTTTTTTTTTTTTTCATTCCGCGATTCCATCTTCTATTTCCTTTTTTTTGCCTAGCACAATTTTGACCCGTTCATTTCTCCCTTTCTGACTCGCATTTCCTTTCTGAAAATTTTAATTATTTCTTCTTCAAAAGAAAGATTCAGGCTTTAAACTTAAACACATGGATTTTTTATTTTTTTAACCATATTGACACTACAATGATACAACCTGAAAAGTAAATTTTATATTTTTTTTCTTAATTATTTGTAACTTTTACGGAAAGAACTCAAGAGGTATATAACCTATCCAATTAAGATTCGATGGGCTATTCAATATTTCATCACCGGCCTACTCACACTCTAAATACATTCACTCTCAAAACACGCCAGGGTCACAAATCTATCAGTACTATATACAATAAAACGGCCCCGTTTCCTCGAAAATTCAGAACAGAGGACCTCAAGACTCACAGCCGTGTAAAAGGCACACTTCTCATATCGTAATGCTCTCTGCATGGAACCGAGAAATGAAACACTCAATTGAGTAGGAAAAATAATTAATCTTTCAATCCTCCGTACATGCCGGTTTTTAGGCCAAAAGTAAATTCGTGCCGGGCCTAGGATGTCTTATCCGTAGTTTGGTGTGTATAAACCTTCTATCTGTATTCAAGTCTATTGTTAACCGCCATGACATTCTAACGGTCAAATAACGAACTCAACAATGTAAGTCAGCGTCTCGTTGCAAAACCAACTTTGAATCAGAGTTTGGATTTGTGTCAGGTTGGAACAGTTTCAGTCTATTGCGTATTCGACTGACATATGTTTCCCATTTGGGGTTGCGATGTCTCGAGATAGGAGGAACACACCACCGCTCACAAGTGGTTCAGTGTTAATCATGTGAGGTTTGGTGTAGAAGCCACCTATCCTCAGTGTGTAGTGACTTTTCCCGCTTCCCCTTCAGAGGGTCAACTGGGTCAACATCTACGCACCGCAACTCTATATCCCTGTGTGAGGGGTCCCACCAGCGTCAGAACTACCGGATCCGCTCCGGCCGCGGTTTTGTTTATAGTAAAATTTCTAACCACCTTTTAAAGGAACCTTTCGGTAAAAGTAGCCTATAAAGACACCGCCGTACAACCAGACTTTTCTCTAAGTACCCGCCAGAGGCCTCACCTTTGGCCACTACGATGCCCACGCAGGATGCTAGCGCACTTGGAACTTGGAACACTTGCCCTACCGCGTAGTTTAGTTGGTTATGCACCCTCTCCCGTCTTTGCAAACAGGATCTGGTACTCTAACACCTCTGTGCTACGGATCAAGTACTTGCGGTCCGCCCACTGTCTCTGTACGCATTCGTGGGTCTCTGTAGGCATAGTCTTCGCATTCCCGCATGCTTCCTTCGTTCGATCATTCCATATGCACCCGGTCATATGCATAGGGACATAAGAATACAGCTAGTGCTTTAGAGAGATCGCCACGCTCTCAAGGCTACACCATTACTTTGTGCCTGGAAACCCTTTGAATCCAAGGGTTAGGAGAGGTCTGTAGGACCAGGATTGAGGAAAGGAATGCCCGAGATTGAAAGGCTCATCCTTTGAGATTGCACTCAGCGCCCCGGGCATGATGGTACGGTCCCTCTGGATGAGAGAGGCGACAATGATCGTTCAAAAGTAGTGTGCCTGCCCTGCATGCATATTCGGTGTAAACACTGTTCATTCTCAGGTCCCCTTCTCCACATAAATTTATTCAGGGGAAGAGGTGGTCAGTGTCTCCTCTATTCTTTGGGCAACGGTTATCCCCAGGGCTTCCCAAACTCCCCTTTCGGGTTTCGCTCGCTCCACCTCAGAAGTCCAACCGCCCCGATCTGAATTTGTTACGTCTTCACTAAATGAATAGGTTGCGATCCTCTTTTTGTTAGGTCTCCGAATAGGACTTAACAGTAGCCTACTACAATAACAAATTTGTTTTCAAAGATGGTTCTTACGGAACTATTAAGTATCTAATTTTATTCCGGAATGATGACGTACTCAGTACTCCACCTTTTCCTTTTCACGCTATGAACTCAGGCCAATAAAAAAAACCGCAAAACATAAAAAACATACATATGTAACAAGTACAACATTATAGTCCTGTTTCTTCAAAAATCGTAACAGGGGACTCAATAGTCGCTATTCAGTCACGAATAATTCTGATATTGGAAGGCATTCCTACTCACGCGCTATATAGAAACAACAATAACACCCTTTAATTGTGTGGGACACATGGAACAACATTTCTCTTCCTGACAAACAAATACACGGGCTACTTCGGTCAGTTTTGTCCATAAGGTGTGTTTAAGCTTCTCTAAACGGATGAAAATGATGACAGAAAACAAGACCGGGATTGGTCGGGGATCAGAAACGACCAATCTGGCACCCGTCAGACTACGAGATATCTTCCAGTATTTTTAATTTCCCCTCATTTATTCTTTATACCAGTAATATATCTACCAGTCTATTTACTACATACTCTCTCTCTCTCTCTCTCTCTCTCTCTCTCTCTCTCTCTCTCTCTCTCTCTCTCTCTCTCTCCTACACTTAAGTATATTTCTTTATATTTATCCTAATTCATTATAATTATTTTGTTTAAAACTACAGAAATTTAACTATTGACAATGTAATTATGAAATCAAACTTTTATTCTACAAGTTAGACAATTTAATTATAAAATCAAACTTTTTTTCTGCAAGTTAGTGTGTTCTTGTTAATAAGAATCGTTGAGAAACTTTAAGGGGGCTTATTTTGTTCTCAAGGAAAATATATGCCTATGATAAAATGTTAAATTTCGTTTAGAACTTAAGGCGGTATTTTTTTAAACTGGATATAATAAAATTGTACCGGTAGTTCAAATTCACTTTTCAATATTTATACTTTTATTCATCCAATTTTTTGTGAGTGGGTACTTTACAACCTATACACACACCAATTCTACAAGGTTTGAGACATTTCTTGTGATCAATTGAAAAGGGAACATGTTTGGAGGGCCATCAGTTACCGGGGAGCCCTAAGCGCGCAGTATTCAATATATCATATTCCAGACCTTATATTCTTCGAACCGTACGTTATTCATTAAAATTCGTTAAAATGTTTAATTTTGGAAAATGGGTAAACTGTAACAGGCGCAGAGTATCATAAAACAAACCAGTTTCCGAGAGTTTGTAGCCTAACCTTGTTAGTTGGAATGAAGTCGAGACACGAATGCCACTCCACTTATGTCCAACTGTTTCTAACGAGTCTGCTTCTCATTGTGCTAACTGATCCTCCTGCGATTGGAAGAGATAATTAGTTCGTTAACAGTTTTGTACTGGGCAAATATTACAATTTGTACTTTCAAATCTGCGTCAACCAAATCTAAATCCTTCCTTTTTGTGGCATGTACAAGAAAGAATTGAATCTATTGATTGTAGCGAGAAAAAACTAGACCAAATGATACATATGGTACCTTTTAATTCAGCAAAAGGTAGAATAAAATAATTCAAACGTTTTCACAAAAATCTTTCAAATTATTTGAATGATTTGATATCGATACAGCAAAACAATTTGTGCTTCGTGCTTCTGAAAAATAATGTAAATACCTATAAACTAATGATACATTACATCATTGTTAATACATAATAATACAAAAAATTATATATTATATTACTTAAATATCTAGTTTTTAAGATTATTAGAATTAGAAGATAATTTCAGAATTATATTATCATAATTTATAACAGATGAGTATAGATAATTCACGGCGCTCAAAGTATACAGTTGCGCACGACTCTGAAGCTTTACTGTACTGTATAATTACTTGAGTTTATAAAAATCACTCTTATTTTTTAAATATTTAAATCTAATTTTGACCCTTGTTTGTTTTGGTCAACAAAAATTTCACACGTGTTATCTCATTCTTAAATCGTACTTGACAGACCGATTCTGCTGTATCTATTAAGGTTGCTTTATAGCCTTATTTGGCGGGTGTTTATCAAGGAATCATCCTTGGCCAATTTCTACTTTCAAAATACGTACAGTGCCGATATTTCTTACAATGTTACTAGGCTGATGATAAGTACTTACACGTGATTTAGACCCCCTCTATAAACAGTCAACCAAGTAGTAAAAGTGTTGAAAGCTTAAGGTTTACAAAATAGATCATGAAACTAATTATACACTGATGGACAAAATTAACTTATCTCCTTAACAGTTTTAGAACAATATATAAATATTTGCCGAGTATACAAAATTTTATTTAAATTTATTTTATATTTGACTTTTTAATACTATTTTTTTCTCCCGTAGGTGTTAGGATGTTAGACGGAGAGGTGACTGACGCCGTCGAAGCCAGGTCTCTTTCCTTAAATCCTCAACACATCGACATATACTCGGCGTCCTGGGGACCGGACGACGACGGAAAGACCGTCGACGGGCCTGGAGAATTGGCCATGAGAGCATTCGTCGAAGGAGTAACCAAGGTTGGTAGAAAATAATACGCACAAAAAAAACTTCAAGCCGGGCAAATTCGAACTGGCAAAGTAGAAATCGAGCTGGTTTATGTAAAATTACTTCTGCACTTCCGCGTGGCAAGGCCCTCATTTATGAGTTATCACTCCACACTCTACGGGAGTGCCCTTGTATATTTATCAAATGGACCCTATTGTTCGTCGGAAGCTATTTTGACACGTCGGCCTGTGTTCTTGCTACTTTATGCACAGTTTAAGCCTAAGCAACCGTAATTTTATTGACGGTTACTGTCCTCTTATTTTTTGTCGCCTTTCACGTTACTTTTAGCAGTTAAACCTTAAAATAAACTTCAATTAATTAAGGTTTTTAGTTGAGATAAATTGAAATATATTAATTGGTCATGCGGACCACGAAAACTAGTGACTTAAAATAAATTTTTGCACCAATTTTAGATCGTTTCAACCAAATCTTTAAAATGACACTTCAGAATGGATAGATTAATAAATAGCAAGATTTTAAACAAAATTGTACCCCCTGCAATTTGACTTCAAGCAAAACCATTCTACAGTTTTAGAACTGGCTAGAATCATGATCTTTGTCAGCTTTAATAAGAACAAACACGTTGATATGGTCCTGATTGATGTTGAAAAAAGCTTTTGACTGCATTTGGCACAGGGGGCTACTCTATAAATTACAACTAAACATTTTCTAAATATCTCATACATCTCGTAGGCAACTTTTTAATAAATAGGTATTTTTATGTCAATGTCGATCAATCAAATTCAAGTACAGTTGGTGTTCCACAAGGTTCCGTCGTCGGCCCTACACTTTTTAACTTATTCCTTGCGGACATTTGTAAAATTACAAATAAAGTTGAACTTGCACTATTCGCTGATGATAAGGCATTAATAAAATGCCAGAAGTGACACTATAGCTAAAGATTTGAGTGAAGCGGCAAGTAAATGTTTCAATTATTTTAATAAATGGAAAATCCGTCCAAATAAAGTTAAAACCGAAGCTATACTTTTCACCAGAAGGAGACCTGATATTAATAATTTTGTCAAAATCAATAGCATATGATTGGGGATGGACGCGAATAGACATAGCATTGTGCATTATTCCGAGTATAACAACCCGTTTTTAACCAAACCTTGAGCTCTGTCTCCAAATGCAAAAAGAGTTCAATAGAATACATAAAATACATAATTGTAAATTATGAGCTTTATTTATTTATTTTTTTTTTACGAGGGTCCGCAACTGCAGAGGTCATATCAACCCTCGGGGTACCGGTGTTTTTTGAAAAAAAGCCCCTTTGTAAGTATCCAGCGGTCCTCCATTCGAACCCGGGACCTTTACCTTACAGTCATGAGCGCCGTGTCAACGCCCAAAACCGTTGCGGCCCCGTCGCCCCCCCCGTAACTATTTATTGTTAAATAATGCATCTACTTTTCTTGCATACGTAACTAAAATGAGTCCTTTTAAATATTTTACATGATCCAGGTCAAAAATTATGCTGGAAGATCAATATATATTATATATATGTATATTACACAGGGCGGGCGACCAGGACCCGAGGGGTTAAAAGCCTGAGTAGGCCCGTACCCCAAAGATCAATTTAAGTCACTGATAAAAATCGTAATGTTTGTAAGCACTCTGCAAATGTTTTTGTGAATTTTATCAGTGAGTGTTTTTTCTTTTCCAACTTTTCCCTTTGAACTGGTGATGCTTATATTTATACCTCTCATTACTATTATAAAATGTGTTAGGTGGTATAGGAAATGGTTTTGACCTGAGATTTTCTTTTAACTCTATGTCTAATAACACTTTTTGTTGAAAATTTTATTTTATGTTGCAAATAAAGGCTCATATTAGTATTATTATTAAAATGCAATACCTCATATTACAATTAACATCGGGGTATATGTTCACTTCGTTTTCAATTTGTGAAAATTAATCTTTTTTTTAAATTAATTAATTATATGGACAGATAACATTGTAATAAACAAGATTTATACCACAGTGACCCCAGGATAAGTTCCGTTTTGTTGATTCTAACAAAGCGTCAGGGAAAATTTGTAATTTAAAAAACACCTACATATATGAAAATTAAAGTAGAATGACGTTTGAAATCACACTTTATATTATTTTAGTTTTCACATAAATTTGATGTTTTCTTAATTCTTTATTATATATTCGGTTTTTACGAATAGAGTGGTCGGGGTGGTTACATAAAATACGACGTATTAGTGTTGATTCATGATTAATAAATTTTCGGTGGAATAAGATATTTAGAAATGTCTGAAATGTTTCTGTTATTTAGTTTTCTTGTTGTTTTTGTTTGTTTTGAACCGTAGTTACATTATATTTTGCTGTATCTCAAGCTTATCGTTTTTCCGTTCAACGCGTCCGTTTCATTTTCCCAACATAAGTGGTGATTCAGAGTAGATTGGGTCATATCATAGCATCCCCCCCGGGCCCATAATCATTATCGGGATGAGCTTTGTCCCCTTTTCCTCGTATCGCAATTTTTTTGAAACTCCTCGAGTTTTGAAGATATGGAAGTGAAATAATGCTTGAAACAAACTGAGCTTTAAAGGGAGCGTACAATAAGAACACTATTAAAAACGAATGGAGCGTCGTTGGGCCGGATCGGTCCATAGGTTGTCCCACAGAGGAGTTAAGTCGTCGCGTAGTCTTATTAGACTCAAAATAAGTCATCCTAGGTTGACAAATGGCTCTTACTTCGAGATCAAACTTGCGTTAGAGAAAGGTAACACGATGTCCCACGTATACGAGTGTTTCACTCCATGGCCGAAGTAAGTTTTTTGCACTTTACACATTTTCCTATAGCGAGTAGGAATGCCACTTGATGTGAGATTTTTGTTTGACCCGTCACTCGTCTGAGATGTGCTCTTTTGTATTATATGTTTGTATTTATCATCGTGTGAATAGAGGAGATGAGAGAACTAATGGCCGAATATTGAGTAAACTATCGACCTTCCTCAATTATATGTGTTGTGAAGATTGTGTATAGGTTTTTGAAGAATGGTGATTTCTCCATTGCCCTACCTGAGCGAATGGTGGGTATGTACAAAATAATATATTTCATAATGAATAGCAGTGCTATGTTTACGTAAAGAATCGCACTTCGATAACTCCCTTGGTACTTCGAAGGACCGAATGGAGCTGACCAAGAATTTATAAAAATACACTAGAGTAGCTTGGTAGTTTTGATCATTTTTGTCGGACTAATCTCGTTAGTTTATTAGAGTCGTTATTTATCGATTTGTAAAGAAAGAAGGAATAAAAATACGTCTGCAGGTGTACGGATCCTGGAAAACATATGGAGTATCAATCACCAAATACTCCACTTTCTTTGTACCAAATGAAACGCAAGAAACGGCTCTGGACAGCCCTCAACTCATCACTTATTTATCTCGTATGAATTCCAAACGACACATCCATAATCGAGAATTGGTCGAACTAGGGTCTTGTGAAGTAAAAGTAAGCAATAATTTTGTAATTATTCAGAAATCATGAGATGCGGTCTGATGTGATGTAGGTTTCAGAAAAGCATTTTCTTTATCGTGCCAACGTTTCGATCTTTATTGAGATCATCTTCAGGGCCTGGGATTTACAAACATTGTTTACATTTAACAAATACATGTAGGATGTGGAAAAAAGTGAATTTATACAATGCGAAATTTATTTTTTATATTCAATCAAAGTATTTCTACTCACTATGTCTTTGTCCTCTGTGTAATTGTGCCATTTTTGCATGTCGTGTTGAGAGTGCCAGAAAGATATTCCTCTTTTATATTTATATATGTTGGTACATTTTTCTTTACATTCGGACGCTATTGTGATATATACAATTTCTTTGCAGTTATTAGTCATGCCCATGATTAATTGAAAGAGATGAATGATCATCAGAAACACTGCTAAATTAGTTCGAAGAATACAAGATGAAATATCATTTATACGAAGTTTAAACATGAAAGGCCCACATAGTGAGTTTTGTGGAACTCCAGAGTGGAGTTTGGATACTATGATTATTAATTTGAAAGCTTGATTTCTACCACTTGGCTTAAATATTTAGTCAGTTGGGTTAAATGTTTTTGTTTATTGTCACTATAATCGTACCTCTCTCTCCTTTCTCTCTCTCTCTCTCTCTCTCTCTCTCTCTCTCTCACTCTATCTCTCCCTCTCCCTCACTCTCTCTCTCTCCTCTCTATCTCTCCCTCTCCCTCACTCTCTCTCTCTCTCTGTCTCTCTCTCTCTCTCTCTCTCTCTCTCTCTCTCTCTCTCTCTCTCTCTCTCTCCTGTTGTTAATTTCTCTATTTGTGTGTGTTTATGTATTGCGTTTGTATATTTCTAAATTTTACACTATATCCATTTTTCATTTTTTTTAGAAGGCCATGGAATCATTTTCAGATCGTTTATTTGGTTGATTTTCTATTATTGTTCCCGTTATTTATGTTTTTTTGTCCCCCTGTTGCATTTTTGCCTTTTCTATGCGATATTTATTCATTAGTCAATGACAAAAGAACAGGACAAGCTATTTTTTTTGTAGTTTATTTCACTATATGTATTTTTCTCGTTATATTAATTACAACATGGCTATATTAATGTACATCAAATTAAAGGAGATCAAAATTTCATGAGTTTTAATAAAAATTATTTAATTATGATGGTTTGGCAGAAAATTTATCAAAGCAATGGAAATTGATAAAATGAATTTAATTAACAGTTTATAACATGGTTTTGCTCATAAAATTTATCTGACAATTTATTACATGGTTTTCTACTAATAAGTAAAACAGAAAAAGCTTTTTTCTTGCATGCACAATAATTAAATTATATTTCTTTTGATTAATTGACATGTTTATTCGAAAGACACAGAAGATTTGTTTTATAAAATTGTGGTATTTTGTTAACATAAGTTTTTTCCCACAAACTGTTATGGAATTTCTCTTACCGATTTGTATTAAAAAAAGTCCAGTTATGGAAA